GCATCGGGCTCCCTGCTCAGCAGAGAGCCTGCTTCTCCCTCTCCCTCTGCCTGCCGCTCTGCCTACTTGTGCTATCTCTCTGTCAAATAAATAAATTTAAATAAAATCTTTAAAAAAAAAAAAAAGGCAGAAACAACAGTAAGATCCTGAAGATACTGCAGAGTTAAGTAAACCCTATGTTTATGTACATCTTATCAGTACTTTCCTAATCAAGTTCTGAGTTGAATCTGAATATTATCAATTTAGAATAGAAACAAGACGTGTACTGTTTAAGTGAAGATCAACTTATAGTGGGAGAAGGTACAAAAGCCATCCAAGATGAAAGTAATTTCATGCCTATCTAAAACAGCTACATTAAGAAACAAACTAGAATCATTTGGCTATCAAATAAACAGTAACTACAAACTACTAATGTGATAGCAAAGAAAATTATACCAAAATATATGATAGCCTAGTTATTGCACTGAGGAAGCTCCAGAACAGATAGGATGGAGGGAGGGGGAAAAGGAGGAAAAAAGGGAGGGAGAGGAAGAAGGGGCAGAGGGGAAAAGAGAGAAAGGGGTTAATACCATATTTTCTCCTTTACACATTTTAACTACTCCTTTTGATATCTGTATGTTTCCAGACAGCACTGTTACTGTTTCAGTCAGGTTCAACCAGTGCAGCATCCTACTTTTCCTTCTACTCTTGACTTAATATTCTATCAATTACTATGTCTTCTTAACTCTCTTCACACTATTTCTTCTAGAAAAATCACTTCTCCTGCCACAAGTATTTATTTTAATAAGTATCTTTTAAAATGAAAACATTTGCTTTATGAATTATTTTCAAAATATCATTATCACAAGATAAAATTAGTAATCTGATAATTTTATCTAATATCCAATTCAGTTTCCCAATTGTTCCCCAAAATGGAGAAACTGGATCTAATCTAAGACTATAACTGAATTGGGTTTTACATGTTTAAAACTCTAGAATGGTCCTTTTTTTGGGGGGGGAGGCAGAGATTGTCCTTTTAGAGAGTCTGCAACCCTACTATTTTCACATATTTATTACTTCCCTTCTTTTATCATTGTTACCAAAATGAAGATACCTCCTAGCTCTAGGCTTCTCGCCTCTCCCATCCACTAAAGTACTGTTCAGATCAGTGACTTCAACATGAAAAAATTCCCCACTGTTTAGCATATGAACTCTTTTTCAGCCCACCATTCGTCTTTTGAAACCAGGTCCACACTTAGTCAGCTGTGTCATCATTAACTTACATGCACAGGCCATCTGACCCTCCAGACATCTCAACTCTGAAAGATCCTTGCATACCCAATACTGTTATGCCTCCATATACTATTCATTCATTCTACAAAAATGTACCAAACATCTGCTACAGCCTAAACACAGGAGACACAGCAGTGAATAAAACAGATGAAAAATATTCTCATCCTTGTAGAGCATACATTCTGATGGAAAGAGAGAATAAATAAAATAAATCAATTATATAATGTAATAGAAACAAAGTAGGTGATAGGAAAAAGGAGCATAGGGGATGAAAGAATGTACTGTTTTAAATCACTTTTTGAAGGCCTTACTGAAGTGACATTTAAACAAAAACTCACAGGTGGCTAAAACCTCATGAATATTTGGAGAAAGAGTTTGGGGGGAGTAGGGGACTTATTGCACAGATCACAATTAACGTGTGTTTTAAAGGACAGGTAAGAAAAGGAGATGCGAAGAATGGGCTATCCTCAAACCCTACCATGAGTAGCTCCATTTCTAGTCTCACTTCAAATGGCACTTCCTCAAAAACACCTTCTCCGGGCGACCCTCTCTAATTCTGACCCCAAACCCAGTCACTCTAAAAATTTATCCTGTGTTAAGTCATGTATCACTATCTAAATAAAGTTTTATACTTTTTATTATTTGTCTCCCCTAACATAGAAAGACATCCCTAGTCTTGTCACTGGAGTAACAATAGCACTTAATAATGTTTCGCACAAACTATGTGCTAAGTCAGTATTTTGGTATAAAACAGTGCATAAAATGATGCCTTACTAAATGAAAAAGCAAGCAAGTTACAGAGTAGTATCTATAGTGTGATCTCATTTTTACAGAAATAACACATACTCTTTAGGTGGTACATTATAAAATAATACATTAGGAGAATAATGAGTTCTAAATCATTGTTGATTTAACAAAAAAACTGCTCACCTGTTGGCCTTGAGGACTTTGTAAGATTTGAGCTACTGCTGCAAGTGTATCTGTGTTTGTTATCTGAGATACCCATGGATCCGGTAGACCTTGGACCACATTGGCTGGAGTAACAGGTGTCACAGGAGTTCCTTTTAAAAAAAAGACATCACACCCACCCAAATAAACACGTAAGTAAATAAATAAGACGTGGAAAGGTAGAGAGATTTGCTTTGTCACTTTTATAAAATATGTACACTTAAATGTTTTTATTTTATTGTCTAATTACAGAATTAGGTAGACTGAAAAAAAAAAATACCAAAAGGATCTGTCCATACTTGTCCTCATTAAGCTACTACTTTAAAGAAGCCTACACTACTTAGAAATGATTATAAATCTTATTACAGAAGAAAATTCAATGACATGAGGAAATATTCAAAATATAATTGAAAAATTATAAAACAGTATGTTCAATATAAAACTATTTTTGTTTGAAAATGGATGTGTATATGTACAGACACAGACACACACAACAAAAACTAAATACATACCAAATGTAAATTCCTCAACTATGAAAAGAAATTTTAAAAGTCTTTTAAATATACTTTCTAAAACAAGATTTTGAGATTATTACTAAAGCATTCTTGGCTTCATTAGATAATTTTTTCAGGGTTCCTTATAAATATTAAGTTCCCCTACTACACTACAAGTTGATTTACATGCAAATTTATGGACAGCCTACACCAGGAAAAAACTTAAGTGACAAAACAATTTCCCAAAGTTCACTGTATTTATGCTTCCAGGGATTTAAAAAGTTCAGATTTTTAATTTTTAGAAAAGAATTACACACAAATATAAATTCTGAGTCTATTTTTCCTTCAAATTACATTTCATTTCAATTACTTAATGCTAGATAAGTTCTCTTGCACTGTTAAATTGTTACTTTACAAATGAATAATCACCTGAAAAAAAAAAAGTAGAATATTTAGAAAACAAATCTCTATCAAGGTAACATACCTGGGGTGTTGCTCATAGCAGCAGTAGTACTGGCCAAAACAGGTGTGACAACTGGGGGAGGAATCCCTGCTGCCATATCCAAAAGAGGCTGAATAATCTCACTCTTAAACACATTATTCTTCTGCCATAAATTTAATACTCTCACTATTTTACTCTGGAGGAAAAAAGAAAAATGACATTTTGATTTTCTGCTTTCAAAACTTAGCACAGTCATTTCACAGAGACTATTCGAACAGTGGATGGGAAGGATGGATTAAAATACTTCTGTAGTACTTTCCGCCCCTGAAATCATGTTTCTGTAATTTTGATTTGCTAATCTTAACACACTTGAAAAAAAAAAGTTCATTTTGACAGATGTACAAGGTAAATGAAAGCTACATTTAGTAGAAGGCAGGAATGACAACTCAGTTTCAGCTTCTATGTGAAGTCTAATGAGATCGATGGTTACGGTTGCCTGGAGACTGTATTAACGCTGTTGAGGTGATCAGGATTTATCTCAGCACCAAAGCTGTATTTACAGGTGATTTTGACTTCACCTTTTAAACAAATAAACTTTAAGACAAAGTCTTTATCTAACATGACCTTTTAAAAATTTAATATTGCAACCAACCCTATCAGAAGAGTAATGTAAATTTCCAAATCAGTATCACAAAATATGTAAACTTCTAATACCTCTGAGCACATATAAAGAACCCCTTTTTACTCTCTCTCAGGGTCCAAAGCCTTCTTTTTATGTGGTACAAAATATTTATTCATTCAGATCTAGAAGACTTAGTAGTGTGGTTTCCAGTACTAATAAAACTTTACCAAAATAAAAGAATTTTAAAATGCGGTTATTTTCTATTAATGGCTTAGCAAATCCATTTTTCATAGACACTAAATAGGTAAATATCAGTTCAGGTCAAATAATCAAAACATTAAATTAGTTGTGTGTGAGAATAAATAAGCTTTCAGTGTAATTCCAAAAGCTTATTATAGCCAGTTTCTTTAACACCAATTGCTTCAATAAGTTAAAAAATAGCCAAATCAACTACATCTCTCCACTTTTGTTTAAGATGCTAAGAATCTCAGAATGTGGAGAATGTAATAACTAAATATTCAAATTCAGAATTACTAGGAGTAAAGGGTAACATAAAATCATAGTTAAGATAAACTAGAGTCTCATTAGACCAAAGGGTAATGTATCGACTTAAAAAAAAATTCCTCGTATCAGTGAGATCATATGATACTTGTCTTTCTCTGCTAAGACTGATGAATCACAGACCTGTACCCCTGAAACAAATAATACATTGTATGTTAATTAAAAAAAAAAAAGGCAGCATACCTTGTCATCCCCAGGGCAACGATATAAATTCTGGAAAGTGCTAATGATGTTATTACTAAATCTGGGTGCAAACACATCCTTTTCTTGACCAAACTGATGTCGAGATTGTCGTACAATGGAGTCAATAACATAAAGTCCAGGTACCTTGTATTCTGGTTTACACTGATGGAAAAAAGAATAGGAAGGGAAGGAATGAGAAGGTAGCATTCATTATAAATCCTCTACAAATACAAAAACAACGCTTATGTAGACGTAATGAATGTTCAGACATTGACTATTCCACACCATCTGTCTCTGGAATGGCATTTTAATCTACACTGGCTACTCCATTCACCCAGTTCAACTGCCAATCACATAAGTTCCAAAACAGTACTGCATAACTGGCTTGAATGGCAAAAGCCAAAAGGATAAATAAGGTACTGTTGTAACAAAAAAAATTTTTTGTTTAATGACTTTGAAAAGCCACACGGAAGGAAGCAGCAAATTCAGGAAAGAGCTCTAGAGAATGTATTGCCAACATACATTAGACTTCATCTGAAATCCATATAACAAAAGGGTTTCTGAACTAATGAAGGAACACTATATATAACATTCTAAATACACGGAGCCCAAAGTTTCAAAAGTTTTCTCAAATACCACACCTATAAGAAAGATAAGACACAACCATTATGATTCCAGTAATCTATCCTATTTTTTAGCTACTCCACTGATAAAGGTTCTCAACCTTCTTATCCACCACCCAAATTGAGGAAAATGTCTCCTCCTTTCTTGCCACAAGCTTTTCTTCTGGTTAGGTGAGCACAATGAAGAATCCTTTTAGTATCAAGGTAACTGCTCCTGGTTTGTCACCGTATCCAGAAGCATAAGAAAACCTGCTTTCCAAGCTTATATTAATTAACATGGAATTATGGCTGCAAAAAGCAGCTTCAATTTTGGGGTGTAATTAGGTAAGTATCTCACCCAAAATAATTTCCTGGAAATCACATATGGCACATAAATTACATTCTGGAAAAATCCTTGGAAACCCAAGTACCAGTGAGAAAAGGATCCTCAATCCACCCCTAACACACACATACTTGTTTCTAATGGCATTTTCAGCTGAGACAATGAGTGATTTCATTCTGCAAAAATACAAGATGATGCTTCATCTATGATGCTTCATCTGTTCCCTCAAATACTTTTTAAGAATCTTATCCTTAGATTCTTACTTAGTCAAGAAAATGAAGAGACCTTTATTATCAATTCACAAGTATCTATTGCAACATTCTGACTGTTAAGACATAAGAGGGCAATAACGTTGGTGTCTGGATTCTGAAGTTTTAAGTTTAACCTACGTAAAGGTTAAAAACATCTGCTCTGTTGAAAGTTATGGTTTTTGAAAGACAAATAGTTTTCCCTCATGTTCCCAAAACATTCAGCATATTCATCCTTCAGTTCATGTATCTGGCCAAGGCTATTTTCCTTTCACTACCATACATTCAAAGAAGTATCAACCTAGCTGAGCAAATAATCTCAATAAAGAAAACTTAAAATTTAATGAAAAGCAGGACATCCACTTTGTTAAAATTTATCTATTCCCTAATGCCACAAACACAGATAAGTGATTAATAATTACTGATTAACTTGATTTACTGGCATCTTAATTTTGCTAAACACAAAAAAATCTGATATACATTATTTCATATAAATGATTATCTTGACAGTGAGACTGAACAGAATTTCTAAGTTGCTTGTAAGAGCTTTAAAAATTAATACTGAGAGGTGCTTGGGTGGCGCAGTCGATTAAATGTCCAACTCTTTTTTTTTTAACTTTTTTTTTTTTTTTAAGATTTTATTTATTTATTCATGAGAGACACAGAGAGAGAGAGAGAGAAGCAGAGGGAGAAGCAGGCTTCCC